AAAAACATATTATAAACCGTAGAGATACTAACGATGTTTTCGGAAGTTTGTTTCTCAGCCGAAATCTGCTGCATGGATTTTTCAGATTTGGTTACTTTCTCTTTCACCTCCTTATCGGATAAATGAAGTCCGGAGCTTGGCTTGTGAGAAGACTGTTGAATATTATCTGGAATGGGATGGACAGTCTCAATTTCAACTATTCCATCAGAAGTTTTGATCGTTTCAGCACATTTTATAGCAGCCTGTCCACCGTTACCATCGGCATCACTACCAGTGTGTACAGCAATAGCAATGTCGGTATTAGCTGCCGAATGTGTGGCGGGAGCAGTAGTACTGCTAGCACTAGATTCCGCGGCACTATAAACAACAGTTAGAGGCAAGTCTTGTCTAGTAATAGGGAGTCCGGACCCAGCATCAGTATGATTGATAGCACCATCTGCAGCAACGGCAACTATATCATCGCCCTCTGTCCCCGTTACTAACTGAAGAGCATTTCTTAGTCTGATTTGTGTTATGGGACGCTTGAAAGGCAACTGTTGTGGAGGCTGAGTATGCAGATCTTGCTGTAGCTGCACCTTTTTCGTCTGTTGATGATTTACAGACATTAAATTTCCTTGTTCAGAGGGCGTACGAGCCCGTCCGAGGACCGATTGAACCGGAATAGCAGAGGGTCCGGGGGCAGGTAGTTGGAATCTCACTGGTCTCTCGATATCGCTATGCTGGACAGGCTCGGGTTGTACTGCTACACTAGAAGAAGCAGTAGTAGTGGTCAAAGGTAGGCAACAGCCACTACCCAAGTGACCAAATTGGCTCATCTGGCGCGCCCAAGCGTCACCTACTGTCGTTGTTCGGACCTGACCCGAAGAAAAACCTCGGATGGTTGCATTAAGCAAGTGACGTTGCTGGAAAGGCAAGTGGGCTAGAAATGATTGAACAGGAGGAAAGTCACTGTGAGATAATATAGGCAAGCGTAGCTCGTAGGCAGGAGAACCTTCAATTGCCTGCAAGTAGCCGGGTAGGTAGTGAATCAAACGATCAAGTGTATGGTCCCATGCAGTCCTAAGAGTTCAATAAAATGTAAAGACAATATTTGCAAGATTGGACAAATAAAAAAATGTAAGGTGACAAGTGTGATGAAAAAAGATCGATCGTAGATATGAAGGCCAAGATGGTGTGGCCTATCTAACACTAAAAAAATTCATTAAAGCGAGCAGTAAGATATGCAAGGATAAGTAGACGATTTAAAA